ATCTCCCTTCGGTGCCATCTCAGGTAAGCTTATCGATTCTCAACATTGACAGGACAAATTCCAAATTCACTGGATACTTGAGAACTTGTATCTCCATTAGAACAGCCTCCTCACCCATCTCTTTGCCTCCGTTCGTTCATTTAGCACACACAGGTGATCATCTGCTGTGCGCCAAACACTGTCCTAGGCTTTGACAGTAAACCAAAAGGCACCCCCCTACCACCACCACCCCAAAATCCGGCATGCAGTGAATTTGAAGTATGAGTGGGGCAACCAATCACCACACAGACAACGTAGCATACCAAATACAGGGTTAGGGAAAGGCAGAGCAGGAGGGCTGGGTGCAGTTGGGAGGCTACTCTTCTGTATAAAGAGAAAAAGATGGTCGGAGAAGGCTTCCTAGAGGAGGAGAGATCTGACACTGACAAAGTAATAAGCCAGCTACTGGGGAAAGAGCATTCCAGATAGAGGAAATGCTGAGGACGGGAAAGGGCAGGAGCCCTGCGAGGGGCCTGCTCTTGGCAGGCTTGAGGAGTGGGCTCTGGCTAGATGGGCCCTGTCAGAAGGGAGGAGACAATTCAGAAAGGTCTTGGAAGGCCAGATCCGGTAGGGCCGTCCAGAGAATGGTGAGAGTGGCATAGAGATGTAATGAAAGGTCCTTCGATTTAACCAGTGAATTGCTTGGGCGGGAAGGGGGTTCCGGACAATAGTCTCAGGAGACCCCAGGTCAGTGGGTGTCACATGCCATCCACAAAGACAATGTTGTACAACCTACTTTGGTGAGTGGCACCTGGGGCCCGGAAAGATCTCTCCCCACGTGGAGGAAAGAAGGGTGAGGGACCTGGAAGATGCATGGGGACCACACGCCCATCAGCCTCCATCCACGGCTGAGACCTGAAGCAGCTGGTGCTCAGCTCCAGCTCCCGATGACTCTGAAAGGGGTCCCAGGTGAAGCGACCAGGTAGAGAGGGAGAACACTGCAGAACAAAACTAAAAATTATTTATTTTTGTAAAAATCAGGCTTCTTGGTTGGCTAGAGATTGGTGGAACCCCCAAGATGATGGCTTTTCAGTACCCTTCAGGTCTGGAAATCAACCCCACCTCCTGGCTCAATTTCTAGCCAAGCAATAGGCCCATAAGGGGAACAGCTGGTGCACTCCTTAGAATAATCAGCCATTTGAGATTAAAAAAGGCAGCATTTAGCCAAGGACAAAGCGCAGGAAACTTAGACTACTAGAAACATGGCTGGGGGTGGAGGGGGTCACTGATGGTACATTGTCAGGAGGACATCAGATGACATAAAATGTGTATGACTTGTTGAGTGGAAAAAACACGGATCTGTTTTGTGATCCGTCCCCCAATTCATGACAAAAAGAGAATAATATAGACGGCGTTGTGGGGGAAGGCAGAAACAAACCACCAGGAAATTGAGCCTGAGCCATAAGACCTAACAATTGTAAATGAAGGAACTCTTGCAACAGGCCTCGCTTCTGCAGGCAGGCCAGCCCGTGTCTACAATCATTTAGAAAGGTGCGCAGACCCCAGGGATCAGAAGGGGATGCCTGCAATTGTGTGTGCCTTCTAAGGTCCTTACCCCGTCCCCAGAGCCGGCCCCGGCCGGGAGCCTCGGCGGAAGCCTCCGGCGCCCCGTAATCGGAGGCGTCCGCCCCTAGTAAAGATGGCCACCCGCGCGATCGCACCCCGCCCCCCGGCCCGGGTCGAATGCCGAAACATCTTTCACTTTCGGGTCACCGCGGAGCAGGGATGGCGCCGGTTCCGAAGACCGTGGGGCGGATCAAGCTAGGTGAGCGGCGGTCGCAGCACGGCAGGGGGTGCAGGGGGGTCAGGCTGGCCTCGCCATCCGCCCGGGGACGGTTTGCTCAAGACTAGCTTCTCGCCGGGCGCCCGGGGCTCGGGATTCCCCGCCGACTCGAAGGCCCCTGGCGTTGAGCCGTCCCCCTTTCCCGTCGCAGGGACTCTGCGGCCCGGTTGCCCGCCGGGGGTCGCTGCTGCCCCCCAGCTCCGCAAGGAATTCGGTCCCGAAGACTACGGCGAAGAGGTAAAGGGGCTCCAGCCCGCTCGGCCCCGGTGTACCCCGGCCACGCCTCCTTCGAGTGGGCGCTGGCGCCTGAGAAGTGCCAGTCCCCGCTCGCGGAACTAATAACAATGAACACATGAAAGAAGAAACTGTCCTAAAGTTGATCTTAACAAACCTGAACTATTGAGTTGTATGACATGTGAACTATATGCCAATAAAACTGTCAGAAATTAATAATAATGAATTAAATACTGGGGGGGGGGTAGGGTGGAGAAAAGAAATTTAGCAGAGACTCTAAGGAAATTCCCAGGCCCTGAGATGGTCCTAACCCCCTCCCTCCTAGATGGGCACAGGAGAGGGTCTTAAACTGCCAAGCCCCCTGCTCTCACCTGGATCTGGGCAGTCAGCTCCTGGATCTGCAGGGCCAGCTGCTGCTCCACCTCCAGGGCCAAGCTGTCCTTGGAGACTAGGTTAGACAAAGCTTGTGCCTCATGCAATAGAAGCTTTGGGCAGAAGCAGAGAGTAAGGTGTGAACCCAGCCCACGTTGCTCCCTTCCCAACTCCCCAGTCACTCACAGGCAAATCCTTCTGGATCAGGAACAAGAAAGAGCCGGGGGCCCATGCTGCCAGATGCTGCTGAGCTCTTCCCAAGACCCAGAGCAGGGTGGTCTGGAGAGTACAGAGCCCCAGGGCCAGGGGCGCTAGACCTGAGGAGAGTGGAAGAGATAGTATTTGAGGGGTCATGGAGCATCGGTAGAAGGAGGCTGGCTTTAGGATGGAGTAAAAGAGAAAGGAGAACATTCTCAGCTCCTGTCTCGGCAGCCCAGCCCCTCATCTCACCTGGAGGCCACGGGAGGGTCAGCGCTGACCTGGGTTCCTGGAGGGCATCCAAGAGAGGGGGGAAGAGCTGTTGCAGAAGTTCAGTGGTTCGAGAGCAGGAGCTACCATCCCGGGGAGA